CTGACTCATAATCAAACTTCAGAATGTCTCATGTTCTCAAAAAGCAAGTAGATCTATGCAGTCTGAATTGATTTGTAAGCTGTACATTATTTAGCTTCCTGTGTTGTACTTTCCGAAAATTCCTGCTGTCTAATTGAAAAAGAAAAATCAAGATTAACTGGTATTTTTTTTTTAATTTCGCTATTTTGCGAAAAAAATACTTTTTAAGCAGAAATCTGTTATTGAAAATCCGATAAATAAAAGCAAAATATAGTTTGTTTTCGCACTGAAAGTAAGCAAATATTCTTGATTTCCAGAATGGATGATAATTAAATGTATTATAAATATGATTAGTACTATAGACAGAAGAAATATCAGTCACATTTCTTGTCCATTTATACTGCATTGCTAAATAATATTGCAAAAGAGGGAGACAAGCAAATGTGGAGGGATGGCTTGAAATTAGAATAAAAGACGAATGAAGCTGAGACAACTAAGATACGTCCGTGTAACACTGAAATAAATTACCGTACAATAGCATTACCTGAACCCATTTTACCTTTCAAATTACTAACTATTTATGTTGTTATCAGTACTAATTTTCAGCAACAGGTCATACGTTTATTGTTATGGAATAATTTCTGGATGAGCAGTATGCTTATGGCTGCATAGTAAAAAAATGAAGTTCTTTTTCCATTACCTTATGTTTATTTAATTTTTCTATAAGCAAGTCAAAAAATAGTTAAGATTTTTGAGATTACTGAGATTTAGTCAATGTTATTCATTAAATGTAAAAAGACAGGTAAAAGTTAGAAGGTTAAACTCTAAATTATTATTTATAAAAATGTAGTAGGACATTTTATAAGAAATACATTGCCAAAGGTATATCTTACACGTAAATCAAAGCTATGAACATTTTATTTAAAATTTTATATTCTAACATCAAATAAGGCAGAATTAGTTTGAAAGATTTATCCACTTGTTCTTTAATTCTCTTATTCTTCTATTGTTTATAAAATAAATCAATATAAACTTGACAATTATATTTTCGTGGGCCCTTTTTTATAGCCTCACGTTCATCAAAATCATGTTCCCAGAAAGACCATTCTTCCTTGCAACTCTCACCAGTGCAAAGTATTGCTTTTTTGTTTCAACAAAAACACCAAAGAAACTTACAAGTTTATTGAGCAAAATGTCCCAAAAGGAGACAAACACGTTGATCTTAATGAACCTAAATGCAAATAGCTTTCCGAGAAGCAATACTTCATTGAATGCATTCTAAGTACACAGGGCTAAAAGTACATATTCAAATTTGTGCATGACGGAGAGCTAGAAAAACAACGTATTCGAGTTCTTCAGTATTCAAATATTGGAACAGGTAAGAAAATAAACATATTTAATCCGTTACAAGATTCAGTAAACAACTTTGTTTCAGAAAAATCGTGAAATACCCACATCATATCAGTCACGATTTCTGTTTAAGGAGCACAGTTAATTGTATTATAAATATACTAAAATCCACTGATATTACCCAGAATATAAAACCCTCTTTTGCATTTTAGTCTAACAAAAGTGTTATTATACTTGCTTCATGTTGCATGTTGCGGAGAAAAATACTATGCTAATAATAGCTAATAGATTGAAACAGATGTTTTAGTCTAAAGCGTAACGTGTATAACGTAAAAAAAACAAAAAAACTCTCAACAACAAAACTGGCTCAAAGCCTTTGGCACAGAAACGCATCGAAGAAATATTTCAGTCAACGTGCCTTTTCCTTTTAAGGATTCCGTACCGATGCAAATATTAAACAAAATAATTTTCATTGCTTGATACCAAATCATGCTAGAATTGGTACAAGCCTACTAAAAATTCTGATTTTTTATTTACTCGTAAGGAAATAATGATCTCCATAAGAAAATGCAATAAAAGCTAATCTACCAGAGCGCACCATAAACTTGTTACATGGCCTATATGTCCTGGTTTCTATATATGTAGCATGTAAGTTTAGAGTACAATTTTCAATCATTAGCTCTTTGGGGGGGGGTGTATTCTTTGCAGATTTGAGTGCAGCTGATTTGTTTTTTTATATGTGTACTTAATATACATACAGAAAATGTGCTGTAAAAAAACTTTGCAAATATATTCTCAATAAATGCATACCCCCCCCAAAAAAAAGGAGGAAGAAAAGCATATAGCTAACCACATGACAGAAAATTATAAATGCTACAGACGTTTTTCTCCCTATTACTGAGATTACAAGTAACCCAGAGAATTGGGATAGTGCTTGTGTACACATGGAAAAGATGTTGAAATCTGAAACAAAACAGGCAAAAAATAATTGATCATAAATAAATTTTAAAGAGTGCGATTATCAAAAAATGTTCTTAACTACGATTCTTTAGAAAAATTTTAATCTAAGTTACAACCTACAATCTCATTCTGAAATTCAAATCCCATTGCGATTACATCAAGGATTGGTATCAAAAAGGGTCAGAGGATCAGAGCTTCTTCTGAAATTACTTGACTGGTTACTAAAGCGATACCCCTTTTTAACGGAAATAAATATATATTTAAATTATGCTATTAGTCAGTTAAATATAAATTACATCGAAATGCATTTTTAATTTGAATTTGCAAAGAAAAATAGAAATCTTTTAAATTCATCACATAGCTTAATAATGAATTTGTTAAAAGTAAGAAATTTCGCATAAGTTAAATACAATATTAATAAAATTTGTCAAAAAAATTAAAATAATTAACTTATGTGAGACTGTAATATTTGTTATTAAAAGTATTAAATATTAATAAAACAATAGATAACTTATTAATTATCTAATATATAAATTATTCTGTCGATAATGTTATTTATTAATTAGTCAATAAAACCTTTTAAGACAGAACTGAATACATCAAAATTTGATTGCATCCTTGTAAACTGCACCCTGAAATCCTCCTTCAATATTACCTTTAACCTGTAATTTTATTCTATACTGCTAGGAAAATTAGTTTTTAAGTGATATATTCTTTGCGTGAAAAATTTATCATTATTTTGGGAGTTTAAAAACTGGTTGAATACTTTTGTTAAAGAAAAAAGGCTTACAGAGCAGGGATTTCTCATACACACTGAAAGCAAACCATAAACAAAAATCACTTTTGGTATCTTTATTGCTTCCAGATATATGAGATATAAAACAGAATTACTCTTAATGAACAAAATATTAAAACAGTTTTATTCAGAGTGAAATAAAAATTAATTTTTACTTCCTTGTACAAAGTAAAGGAAGTATTGTATTCGCGAAAACTTTCAGGTATCACATTTCAACATAAATATTCATTTTGAACGTTCTCGAATCCCTTTGGACGATTTTCTTTGCATGACATCTGATTGTGCGGACAGAATAAAGGACTCTGTTTTCCAAAACGGATTGTAAAAGGGATTCAAAAGGGTTGTTTTTCCCATGGCTTCTGTATGTACATACGTTTTCTACTAAAATGAAAGGAAGGAGCTAAAGCAGTTATTCCACAAAGACTGAAAGGACAATTTAAAAAGAAATTGGATAATTTTAAATATGCAGCATTGTTCTCTTTTGATAAGAGATCTATAATTGATCAATCGGTCTAATCTTCCCCTACTAAGCATACTCCAAATAAAAGTAAAGAAAACATTTCAACGAACGATTAACCACATCAAATTCATCCGGAGCAAAAAGTTTAGCAATCGCAGACATTGACTGTACTTGAAACTGAAAATGAAACTACTCACCATACAGTTCATCGATTTAACTCTGCTACTCAACATGTGGGTCATGCTCATCCTCCTCCTAACGATACTGACTCTGCCAATGGGAGACTTCGTGCACTTTTGATTTACCCAAAGAGGAATAATACAACAGTCAAAATAGTTGAATGAAATATAATGATTGATATTTAATTTCAAAATTTGAAATTTTTTATGTCATTTTCAGCTTGCCTTGAGTGATCCTTAATGCATTTCGAGGAAAAATATAACATCGGTTTCCCTCCTTAAAAAAATATAAATATTCTGCTGCTCTAGTTGACAGGGATATTCAGACTAGAGAGAAGCCACTTCCAATTTTTGATACAGATCACTTGGAAAATTCTAGTTTAATCAAATTTCTTATGTATAATAAAGACATATTACATATATTCTGAATAACAGTTTGGAAGATGATAAAAGTTTTAAGACGTAAATAGCTCCAATTTACGGGTGAGAAAAGTAACACTATTATCGTTAAAAATATAGAAAATAATATTTTATTATATTAAGGTAAAAATAATATTATTTTTATGCCTACTTCATCTTCTCTTTTTTGTTTCATTTATAATACTGTATTTATAAGGTTTATATTATTTTTACTAATAGTTATTTTAATTTCTTTGCCTTGTTTCTCTCGCGTTTCCTCGCCAGGATGTAAATGAATTAGGTGAACGAGAGTGAAGCTGCTAAAAGTTTAGTCAGAGCGTGTTTTCGCTGTTAAGTGATCATATTGTTATTTCTATCAGATGTTTGAATTCTGAAGCTCGACTTCGCCTCCGAAGTTTAAAATACTATCACGGTGTAGGTTTATGAATCAACCTGCTAGTTTAAATTAATTTGTGTAGTCTTGAACTACTAGCTTACCTTTGAATTTAATTTGTTACCATTAACTTCCTCACAACAAGAGGATGGTGAAATTGTAAGCACATAAGATCGTGCCGTTTGTACAGAATTGAGTTCAATAAAAAGGGACTTTTAAACACTTCCTTAGGCGTATTCATCTTCTAGTCTTAACCAGAAGTAAACAGACTTAAACAGACTTTCAAGTAAGTCTAATAGCAGTGTATGATAGCAAAGAAGACTAGATCTTACATACTTGATACTAAAATTAGGGTAGAGTACAATTTTATGCTAGTAGATATCTCCTGTCATTTTAGTTTCTGCTTTTGTACTGATCATTATTATTACTTATTATTATGCTCTTGTTGTTGTAAGTTTGGGTAATTTCCATTTACTGTTTCAGATTGAAGAGCTTCTCTTGAAAGAGAAGTATTTTCCTGTGACTCTAACTGCATACGAATTCATGTCTCTGTCCAAAGCTTTTCTCGCAACAGTAAGAACCTTCACATCGTTTTTAAAATGTTTAGATATGATACTAGAGCCTAGCATTCCGATAAAAGATTTTAAAAAAATAAACTGAAATTATAGGCAAATTAATGATCATTTAGGTTATTCTGAGCACTCCTACTATTTACTGATACTAAATTTCGTTTATACATCTGTAATGTATGTATGTATGTATGTACCTTGCATAACTCAAAAATGATTAACGTTAAAATTTTGTATATCGGGCTGCTATAAGAGCTCATTTACACATCTGTAAGAGAGCTCATTTACTCATCTGTAAGAGAGCTCATTTACTCATCTGTAAGAGAGGTAGTTCACATTTCTAGAAAAATAAACATTAAACTTGCTTAAGGTTACTTATTTTTAGTTTCAGTGAAGTTAAATAAAGCTTATAACTTGGAACAGCCATCTCGCATTTTTAAATATATATGTACTCCGCCTAAACTCTGCAGTCTTAAAACTTTCGTATGTAATATAACAAAATGGCAGTTTTGTAAACCAATTCTACAAAAATATTCCAGCCGCCCGCTAAATTTTACCTGGTAATGATTCAAATTCTTAATAGAAATTGTAGAGATATTAGGTATATTTTTTGGAAGTAGTAGAATTGAAAAATCAGCAATCGCCTTCGCCGGGAATCGAACCACCCAGCCGCCCGAATACCGGTCCAGCGTGCAGAACCACTACACTATGAGGGCTCGCTAGGAAGGCGGGAGAAATACCTTATAAAATGATGAATTCTTAGAAATTGTAATTACAAATAAGTGTGCTGAAATTAATCTCATATAGAAGCAGAAAGAAATCATTCATTATTTGAGAAAATTTTCTTCGTAGTACGAGTAGTAAACCTCGATGCGAAAGCAATGATTTCTACCATTAGATTTTCTTTAACATTAGAAGTCGCAAATGCAACGCTTTTAAATACAGTGTGATTTTAAAATGTTTTCCATAAATTTTGTAACATAATTTTAATAATGATGTGACTGTAACAGCTTCCAGCATAACTCATTTTAACTGCTTGCATAGAGATGTTTTATAGACGTTTATAGATCTTATGTTTGAATAATTCTCTATTCACTTTGTTCTTTTTAGGTTATTGGCACCTTGCTTACATACCTCATCATTCTTATTCAGCTAACACCGGATCCTTGCGAGTAGCAGGAAGTCTGAAAAGCATAAATTAAAGGACTTTTTAAACTGAACTATTTTCAGTTAGCACATATTTCATGCCAATGGAGTTCATGCCAATGATATCAGTACGACAGTACTCTTTTGTACTGTCGTACTGATATCATTTTTCACTATCAGTGAGATTTCTTAAACCAATTCTAGTTTTCATTAAGTATGCTAATATTCATTTGATCCTGTAAGATAGTGATCTCAAACTTAAATTGCATGCAGCCGAAGGCACAATCTGTAAATACTATTAACAAAGCCAAAAGCATTTTATGTAAGTTTTAAATTTCACTCACTAAATATTTATCAAGACTTTTATAAGCGATAATAATAATACCGAAAAGGTAAAAATATCATATTTGTAATTATTTTCTACCTGAAATCTAAAGATTGGTATGAGTGAAAGATTTCTGTTGGTTAAACATCGTAATTCAAGTACGGGGGTCATAAAAAACTTCCCCGATTATAAGAATAACTAGCGGCCTATCCGCTCAACCAACCGAAATGAAGTTTCTGGTATTGTTATTTGCGGGGATGTAATGATTTAAAAGAATAGAGCTGTCATAGTTACAGTTACAGTGAAAACATTTTGAAATTTTCGAATAAGAACATTCAATTTTTTCCCGCGTAGACTGAAAAACCATATATGGAACTATGACATCCTCAGTATATAACCATTTATGGAACCATATATGAACACGTATGGCGAAAATCGCTAGCGTACCTCTATAATAGCGTACCTCTAGTAACATTTGCAAAGAAGAGCATTGTAAAGGACCAATGACAACAAAAAGAGAAAGCGCATTGACGCACCTTGCATAATTCACAGAGATAGACAGTAAAAGAACTACATCGCTGAACACTACGCGCAAAATATTAATTGTGGGAAACATTTAATAAGCCCTGTGGGAAAATTCTTTCTTTAGTTAGGTGTTCGGGCATGCTAACAACTTACAGGGAAATAAGGAGTTAAATTGACATATCTGTTTTATCTTAACCCGGAAAATGTTGTCGAAGCAGTATGAGTTCATCAGTGAAATCAGAAGCTAAGACGATATAAAAACTTACGTACTAGTAAAAAAATTTGAAGAACCTGGATGCACATGTGACAGACCGTGATCCGAACGATTATGTGGTCCTGTTGAAGTTGTTGCGGAAATGCATAATATGATTACTGCACGTCCATTGCCATACTACAAGAAGTATTACCCGCGATTTGGATGTATGGAAAAACCACACGCTTCAAACTTCTATTGTCTGTTTTGCAGATATTTCCTTATCGATTGATGTTGCAACCCTCACATGTTGCAACTTGGAGACCAGCAACAACGTGTCGACTTTGCGAATTTTGTTCTCATCACATATGGCTAAGAAAACAGGTGGCCGCTGTGAATACTACGCATTTCTCTTTAACTGGGAACGTAAACTCCAAAAATCATGTTCCCTGAGCTGACGAAAATCCTCATGATGTGGTACCAGCGCCTTTACACGAAGCTGAAGTGATTGTATCGTGCTGCATGGAAAGAACATTCGTTCTTAGTCCTTACTTCTTCGAAAAGGTCACTTTCACAGGTATGAAAAGGAGGTCCATCACAAGTTCTCGGTATACAACTATGTTCCAGAATTACAGCAGCGAAATGTCGTTAATGACAGTGTTTGGATGTCAGATGATGCTTTTCCACACGTCGTCATATGTTTCCGGTAAGTTCTGCAGCAACACTTTGGAGATAGAGTCATCTTCCGTAACTTTGCAGTTTCATGGCTACCGCAAACCCCAACCTCATTCCGATGGATTTCTAGTACTGGTTTATAAGAAATCTGAGGTATACTCATCAAATCTACTAAACTTGTCAGAACTGAATGATGCCATAAAACTTAAACTTATACGATGTCACGTTTGCCATTGTTGTCAACAATCTCCTGCACGCAATGTGTTATCATCTGCAAATGTGGGTTTGTTGAAATCTTGTAATTCCGATAAATTTTCCCCCCCTCTTGTCTATTTTATTATCCTTTACAATGCTCTTCTTTGCAAATGTTTTGCGGTGGCAATTTTTCATACGTGTTTCGTTTCAACCTCGTTTATGGTTTTTAAATGCGCTGATGAGTTTAAGCAGGAAAACAGTTGTGTTGTCATTCGAAAATTTAGAAATGTTTTCATTGTCTCCGTACCAGAGAGATCACTACTGTTTTAAATCATCGCAATCTCGAGCGCTTACCTTCAAATAATAATATCTGAAATTTTATTTCGATTCTTTGAGCAGATATGCCGCTACGGGGTTTATAGGTAGGGAAAGATTTTTATGATCATCCTGTATATCGAAAGCTAAATATCAAATTAAAATAGACTAACATTTCTATCAAATAAGTCTAACTTTTTTAGTTCATCTTTAAATAACTTACTTTAATTTAAACTAAAAATGAAGACATTAAGAAAAATGTTTAAATTTTCGGAAAACATTTATCCATTGTAGGTAAACTTGAGAATAAATAACAATAATCCAGTCTCTTATTTTTTTTTTTTTTCCAATGGCAGGCTCTTAGATGTTTAAAGGTGCTGGCCGCTACTGTGGTTGGAAGCGGTGTTCTCTTTATTATGGAGGCACATAGCAGGTAGGTCACCGTTGCCTCCGATGCAAGGACGAACAAATTACATGCATGCCTTCTACGGGATTCGAACCCAGGCCCTTCGGAAGGGCAGTTAGAGTCATTAACCACTTTTCTGCCTAGGCGGAATCTCTTTCTTATATTTACTAAACTTTTATTCGGCTCAGAAATAAAGATACAAATGCTTGTATGTAAATAATTATAAACCTCTTTATTTCTTACTATAGCTTAACACTAAATTGCGTTTCAGTTCTAATAAAGACCTTGGAGAGGAGTAACAAGAAATTTTCTTCAACACGAGTTGTGTACGCCCATCGGTGCATCGGGTTCTCTTCTTATAAATTTTCAACAGCGAAAAAAACCTGTTCACGTATAAATGCATTCCCAAACAAAGAGATCATTCTTAGTTCCAAAATTCGTAACTGAGCTTATTTATTTTTCGACAAGTATGAATAAAAGTTTAATAAAATCTGTGCCTTCAAATCTTTGAATGAGATTTATATCACATTGTAAATTAATTAGCTCTATTTATAGATTTTCTGGTGCATTGTTCATGTTTGTTTTTGATGGAAATGAAAATGATATAAACTCGGAATTCAAAGAACTAAAATCTTAAAATCTTTGCAACGCCGTATTTGCAGCTAATACATAACTGCAATGTCTTCGCGAGCCATATAAAGTTTCTTCGGCCACGTACGGACATTGGCTGCCAGTTTGAGACTACTGGTTTAAGACATGAAACTTATGGAATCGTGTAGATTTCTCTTACCATGTTATGTAAAGCTTGAAGTTTGCAAACCAGTTAAAATTTCTTTGTTTGGATCCTGCTGTATCTATTAGAATGTGATCATGCATGACACAGTTTTCAGAAATTTGTACACTATTTCACTCTTTCTAAATAAATCGCTTCAATGCAATGATTAATTAATATTCCAGTTGACCACACTATGTTTCATTATACTTGTGTTATGAATTTACAAATAATTCTTCTAGATTTAGATGAAGTTTGAAAATAAACTTATTCAATACAATATTGCAGTTTCATAATTTTTTGTTTTCATTGCAACACTTTTGTTTACGGATATGCTAAAAATTTAAAAGTTTCCCTTTTCCAATCTATTCTTTTAATTTATCACGTAATTCCTTAATTTTTGAAATCATATAAAAAAGAAATTTATTTTATTTATAAGGTAGTTTTTACCTTCCATCCAGCATGACTTCGTGGTGTAACGCTTCGCACTCTCGGTACGTATTCGAGAGGTTCAGGTTTGAGTTTCGGCAAGGGCATTGTTCATTTCTTCCGTTTTCTAACACTGAAAAAACGTAAAAACTCTACAGTGGCACCAGAACTTAAAAAAAAAAAAAAAAAAAAAAAAAAAAAGGTGGTGGATGATGATTCTTTAACACTAAGATTTAGTGATTGAGTTTCCCAATCCTCACTCTCCCTTCGAAAAACAGGTGGCCACTGTGGTTTGCCATATTCCAGTAAAGGGAGGTATTTTCTCCCTCTTTCCAGCTTGCCTTCGTAGTGTAACGGTTAGCACGCTCGGCGCACACACTGCTCATTTTTTAAGTCATCTACTTCAAAAATTCTAATGACTCATACTCATCCTAATGACACATATTTTTGAATATATAAATATTTATTGTATTTGGTGTTGGAATTAGAAAGAAGAAAGATCCATCAGAAGTGAGCACCGTTTTCAGCATATGTTATTTGGTACTTTTATAGGTGCAAATATGCTCCTCTCGATTATAAAGTTCAAGGTAATGAGCTTATTTTTATAAGTGGAAACCAAATATTTATTCGATCTTTAGTTTTCTTTGCAGAAAACTTTTAAAACTGTTTTTTTTTAACACTTTTATTGTTACATTTTCTATACCACCATTGGTATAATAACTGTGGAACGGAAGTCTACCTCAATAGATAGGCTACTGGAATATGGCAAAGCACATGAGAACTATTACCCAGGAAAGAGGCGGAAGGGAGGACTTCGTGGAAGACTTTCTTTAAAAGGAACTGAGTCATGCTCACGTTACACATGGAGAAAAATACGAAAACTAACCAGGCAATGAGCCTGTTCGCTTGGGATAGAGCCCGGGTAAAACTCACATCATTCAGTAGTCATAACCACTCGGCCACTTCTAGGGCTCAGGCTCGAAAGCAGCTGATAGAAGAAACTTTTCTGAGACATTAATTGAAGTTTAGGAGACGTAGTGTTCTCCCGGAATACTCCAGGTTTTGAGAATCAGTTAATTTATTAATTTGAAGAAAATGCTTTTGTGCAGTTAAGTTGTAAAGGAAAACGAAGGACTTCAACGCATTTATTTATTTATTTATTTATCACCACTGAGCAGGCTTCTGACCTAAGGTGTATACCAAACAGAATAATACCTGCTCAACAGGAGGTCAAGTATAATCCAGCAGCCGCTACCACGAGGGTAGGGCTGTACTTTTTTTTAACAGAGACTACATATAGTAGCAGTATTTCATAAACAAAGACAATTCGCATTCATATGCTACATATAAATCAGAGTTATAAGTTGGTACTTGGTATAGTAAAAACAAAGTTGCTGATTAAATTTTACAAATTCTTAATATAATAAACAATAAATAAATAATAAAATAAAAATTAAAACAAAAAAAATTAAGGGGGAAATTAAAAATAAAAATAGAAACAAAAAATAAAATAAATGAGGAAAGAAATAATATAAATAAAATGAATATATATAAATGAATATAAATAATCAACAAGTAAATGAATATAAAAAATTAAAAAAGGTTTATACAACGATTACTTAGCTAGTTGACGAGTATGAATATCGCTATCGAAGGACTCAGCCATTGGGAGCATTTCTGCTCGTAGAAATGTGGGCCTAATCTAATCTAATCTAAGAAAATAAGCCGTACCGCCAAAATTGGCACAACCGGCAATTTAAAAGAAACAAACTGAAAGATAACTGGATAAACACTACAACAGAATAAGGACTACTTATCCAAAAACTCATCCTCCGCTGGAGATGTGTCGGCGTCGCCAACGGGTCATCTCGACCTTCATTCAGAATAGAAACCACTATTTCTTAACATAAAATGACTAAATTGAACTCAAGACAACTGCTAACCTAAACAACAATTATAAAATACAAATATTGCCTAGCTTAACGAACAATAAGCATTACAGTTTTCAGTAAATTATACATTGTATGTATACAAATTACATTATAATTTATGCAATTCAACTCAAAAATTTAAGCAATTAAACAAAAGGATCGAAAATATACATAATTATTCAAATTGGTAAAATTTTATAAGTCCTAATTTAGCTTTATTATTGCTATATAGATATTTTCATTATTTATAGATATATTTCGAAAATATTCTCCTCTAATTTCCTTCGTTAAGGCACAGTCCCAAATGTAATGTCCATTAGATGCTCCAGATGCATCCTGACCACATCGGCAATGAATATCTTTCCCATGAAACCTTTTTAGATATTCTGGAAATTGGCCATGTCCTGTTATCAATTGATTTAGCAATCTATTGTAACTTAATCTTTGCTCTTTGACAACAGGAAATATTTATAAACCTTTCGTCCAGTTTTGTCATAATGCCATCTTTGTTGCCATGTGTGGAGAATCTTGTCATGTAGTACACTCTTAATATAATTAAGAGATAAAGGAACCGTGATATCAATATCTGTATTATAGCATGCTTCCTTAGCAGCAGAATCTGCTGCTTCATTTCCATAAATATTCGAATGTCCTTTTATCCAATTTATATGTAATTTCATTTTTGAATTAATATTGTGAATATAATTTCTGAATTGTGTGGGCCTGAAGATCTTATCTGTGGCGATTTCGAAAACTATCCCATAAGTATAAACTATTTTTGTGCGAAATTGCTGCGCGGAATCTTGCTTGGCAGTTGCAATTTTTCGCTTAAAAGCGGCTTGTGATTTTTTATAGTTAAGAAATAGGTCACGTCACGATGAGTAGCAGGGTCAGTTGTTGCTTGTGCTTGTCTTCTGAGCTTTCGTAAATTTCTGCGATCCGTAAATAAGGTGTCAGACCTCCAAGAAAAACCCGTACATGTGTGAGTCTTTTTTTGTTCGAAATGTTTGTCGACATGCTATCTTACGGCACGCTATGAGTTGGTTGCAGACGTTATCGAAATCCACAGTTGGATTGCATTCTCCGAGATTCTCAGTGAGTGTGTCTATAAAAGGGGACAAGGGCTTAGTTTTTTAGTTCCACCATAGAAAGTTTTGAAAATTACAGTGAGGATGGCATTATCAGCACAAATAAGCAAACAAATTTATCGCTTTTCTGCAGTTTCATTGTAGCTTTTCCAACATTGTCAGAACGTTGTGGTTGCGGATAGTGAATGCGACATAAGTGAGGTGCTTGACATGAAGTCTGTAATATTTGGCCGAAACAAGAGAATTTGGAAGAGGCCTCTAATAGAAACACAATGGTATTTCTGTCATTAATGAGTTTCAAAAGCTTCAAAGAAATCCAAATTGAGGGACAAACTAGTGAGAGCAATAAGGCCTCCAAAAATTGAAATTTGAGTTTTTATTTAAACAATAGGAAGCTACTGAAGAATTTTTAACACACTATAGAGTGTGTTAAAAATTCTTCAGTAGCTTCTTTAGGGTTCTCATTTATCCTGAACATTAAAGGTCTGTGGATTTCTGCTCTATATACAAAAAGCACATTCGCAAAGAATTTTGCAAATGTCCCATGAAGGGGTCCAATATTTGGTCTTTTACAACGATTTTATTGACAAGTTTTAAAGAATACCACATATATATACACCTGATATTAGAATGGAATCATTATTTGTGCTGCATATTTTAAGTCTTTCCCCCCCCCCATTAGAAATTTTTATTTTTCCATTTCTTACCATTTCTCGAGCTTCGTTAAGTCACTCTGCATTATGATGCCAGACTTTCATCCTTCCTCCAATTTGACAAGTATTACTATTCTAAACATTATGAACCTTGCAATGTGGCAAATCGTCATTTGTCAGAAGTAATACCATTTAAACCAGCTTAAGATAGTTATATTTTAAATTAAAACAATACTATCATTTATAAACCGAGTGATTTAAAATCAGTATACAAACAATAAAACTTAATATCAAGACCGCAGCGCTTATCTTGATATTTGGCTAAATAGGTTGTCCCACCTTCGTAGGCTTCGGCGAAGATTATACATAATTAATAATAAAAAGTTTTTTTTTTACAAAACAAAATACAAAACACTCATTCTCCGATAAAAAGGAAATTTTTTGGTATTATTCCGTTAGAGCTGCGTCATTTAAAAATGAAGGAAAAATTAGAAGAAAACAATGTTATAATAACACGCCAAATATCGTGGCTCGAGAATTTAACGTTTAAAAATATTGCGGATCGAGATTTCTAGTTCTCGTTTGAAATCATCACTCGATATTTTTTTGCCATATTTCGCCATTTTTTCAATACGATAGATGACACAATTTGGCCTAATGATCAAAAGGCTGTCATAAGATTCTTTCAGGACAAAGGAATAATTCATAAACTTTGATCTCAAAACAATCCGATAAAGTTAATTTTTGACTCAAACAAAGCTCCTATATGGTGTTGGTACGTACGTTTTTGCTGTGGAAAAAGAAAAAAAAAGGATTGAGAAACAAAACATGATTTGAAAACTCGCGTCTTCCTTTCCTCAATGCCGTTCGTTTTATCTGTCTACGGTATCAAGAATTAACATCTATTGAATTTTGCTAATTTCAGTCAGATATCAGCCATAATACGACAATAGATTGGAATAACTACTTTAAAATCTTTGTACAAAAAGGTAAAAACAACGTTAGACGTGTTCTAACGTTAGACGTGTTAGCAATGGGTATTATCCATTGCTCCGGAGCAACGGGGTTTATGCCGGGAAAACAACGCGTATAGCAGCATGATATTTTCAGACTGCCGGAAAGGATGTAAAAAAAAGAGGAATTAAGAAATGCTTAACATTTCACTGTGAATCGCAGTTATAATCTTACAGACCCCGAAACTGTATGCTATATCCAAACTGTGGAGCGATTCTGGGGCAGTGCTAAACGGTGAAATAAACCTCAGCGGGAACACTGCTCGCCACTATAGTTAGAGTCGTATTTGACAGAATTTATGTGGCGTCGGTTACATTCAAAAACTGAAAATTTTTCTGCAATATTGAATGATATTTGTAATTTTATGCCATCTGTTTATATTGAATTTTATTTTGTTTTGTTATTTTTTATTTATGTGTAGAATATGCTAGATTAAAAAATTAAAAAGAAAAGTTTACTTTCTTTAAGAAATTTTTAAAAATTTACTTTTTATAAAACTAATTTCTTTTTAGTCTTTTGGAACTCTATTATTATTTTATAATTAACTCTATTATAATTTACTCTATTTTATAATTAACTCTATTATATACTCGGCAACAACTGGTGGAAAAAAAAAAGCGGCTAATTTTAACTGACGCCGATCGAATGGAATAGTACCATTTTTTCCCTCTAAACACAAAAGTAATTTCTGTCTTAACTAAATTGAACTTAAGCTCTTCTCATATTACATTGTTTTATTTTACTACATAAAAACTGGTTTTAGTTTTACTTATAAATTTTCATTTATACATTATTTTTATATCATTCAAATCAAAGAAAAAAAACTAAAACACATAAATTAATGAAAAACAAGTTTATACTATTGAGACTAGTTTTATACTGAAAAACAGTTTTTACAACAAGTTTTTAAAAAAGCAGTGAACCAGATATCTGGGGTTCTACTGCATATTTTAGCACTTAAAATTAGGCGAAAAGTTCAGCCTTTGTTTGACTCAGAATTTTGAATAAAACTGTCGATTTTAAGGTCGAGCCTCTTCTTCATGGAAAAAAATTGCAAAATGAACGTAGCGCTATCGGTTGAGGAAAATAGTAATGGAACGTGAAAAACTTAGCTATTAGAATTCTGAGCGCGTTTAGAAGACCTGGTTTAGAATCAATATCATTAACTAGAAAAAGTACCTTTTTGTGAATATGAAAATCTTCAAGAAGATCCATTTCAATAAATGAACTAGCTTTATGATAATTTCTTTTATGCATCCAGTGTACCCTTCGCGTTTAATCTTATAAAGAACGTTAACCTTCGTATGGTCTTACATTTGCAAGAAACAAAGAGCAGAAGAAGTAATATGGATTTCATTGCGATTAGTTGCATTATCAGCTAGATAACTGTAGCAAACACGATATTTTAAAGCTATATGTTCTCTCACAATGTTCTTGGTGAGAGGAATAAATTACCGATGGGTATAGTACATTCCGGAAGAAAGCATTAAGTTCCAAGTTTTGGGTTATTTGAAACAGCAACAGTATGATTAGATATGGAAAATTTCGTATTTCTCTTTTTTTCGAAAGTGAGATTTATAACACAGTAACACGTTTCTTAACACAGTAACACAAAATTTTAATGCTACTGTAGTTTGACTGCTATATTTTAAAGTATATTGAGAAGATATGGTAAAAATTCGGCCAAGAAATAAAATCAGGTATGGGAATCTTTATTCATTCCTTTATTTCTCTCTTTATTGTTCCAGTTTAGGTATTGTAGAGTCATTAGATTATTTGAAGCAGGAAATGTCTTCTCGAATAGGGGCCGAGTGTGCTACCGTTACACCACGAAGGCATGCTGGAAGAAGGGAGAAAATACCTTAACCTATTTTTTTAAAGGGTGACCTTGAGATTAGGAGACCCAATCACCAAATCCTGGTGGTGACGAATTTATTGTCCACACCCTTTAGTTCAGGCGCCATTTGTAAAATCATAAGGATTTTTTTTTTTTTTTTTTTTTTTTTTTTTTTTTTTTATGCAGGAGACGTGACAAATATGCAGTGCCCGCCCCGTGACTCCAATCTTAGACCTCTCGAAAACTCAGTGTGCTGCCATTACACCACGAAGGCATGCTGGAAGGAGGGAGAAAATACGTTATATACTCCCTATTTTATAGGGCTACTGAGGATTAGGGGCGCATTCGCCAAATCCTGGTGGCGATGAATTTTCTTCCACAACCTTTTAGTTCGGGTGCCACTTTTTATTGAAGCAAGAGACATTAGAAATGTGCAATGCCAGGGCCCGAACTGGAGTCTGGAACTCTCGAATACGCTCTGAGTGTGTTACCATAACACCACGAAGGTATGATGAAATGAGTGCTAAAATACTACTTTATAATATTAACAATTTATATCTTTATGTTATTTTTAATAATATCTCTAAGTGGTGTAATTTATAATATACCTAGCTCATGTGACTGTATTAATGTTTTGACTAGGTTGAATTAAATTTGAAAATGGATTTAAAATACAAAGCTTCTTATCACAAAATCCAATAGGCATAACTTAAAATTTGTTGCAATTTGTCATTAAACGAAAAATCTCAAAGCATTTAGTTGGACTGAAAGAAACGAAACTGGGCATTTGTAATGCACGCTTTGTTTCCCCTTTGCGCCAATTCTACTTCCATATGCTGTTTCAAACATATCAAAGAAACATAGGAAAACTTATCGTTAACGTGCATACTATTGTAAAGAACTGAATATTACGTTAGCTACTGAATCAAATTCCTACATTCGTGCGCTCGTTTTATTTTAAACAATTAAACAAAACATCCTCATGTATCCGCTTTAAATATTTTGTAGTAGTATGAAGTGAATTCTGAAAGTTTATATGTATAATTTTTGATTTTACAAGGACTTTCAATCACTTTGTTCAAATTATAAGAATTTGTATAGGTATTTGGAAGCTGGCAAGATGAGTTGAATCGAATCAAGGAGGTTTCATATACTTTGTTCAAATTATAATTGTAATCTTCTTGCTATTTTTAAGATATATTTTTAAAAAAGGATTTGGAGCAAAATACAAAGCGATTAACATTTCATAACTTTTTATTAGTCCATAATGAATAATTCCTTTCTAAAGTGCAAAAGTCAATGGTGTATCGAGAATTGCTGTACTTGAAAAACGATTGAAGTAATTGTAATCTGAATACTTCTTTGAAGCTGTCCGAATTCCTTTTACCTTTTCCTGCAAAGCATATTGTAAGCTTCTTTCATGTTTAATGCTTGGAATTCAGCATTCTGATTCATTGGAAGCCATTTGTACAAACACAACGACACAAGTAAATACAGCTCCTAAAATCTAGAAAAAAAGAGAATTTTTTTACACTCATCAGTGAAACTGAATGATATTTAATGAATATCAAACAAATATAAAAAAAATAATAATAATATGTAAAATGGTAAGTAGAATAAATTTCTAATTTGCTCTCAGCATTATTAACAATTTTTAGAATAGATGATTATTATTTAATTTGGTTAAAATATGTGAATTATACATAATAGATATTTTATGTGCTATTTACATCATAAAAAAGGAAAAATGGAAATTTCCTACTTTATATAATATTAAATGTGAGTACTTAAGACAACATTAAGCGTCAGGCTTTTCTTTTTACTTACGTCAGTAATAAGCTTGAGAATCTGTACCAGGAGATAGATTAAGAAATGTTAAAATAATATTGATGGAAAAGGGATCAAAGGTTAAGATGAATGCTTAGCGAAATGAATGCCTCTGTGGAGCATTTCAAAAGGAAAACAGATTTGTATTTGCATTGCAAAATGGGGAAAGATGTGAAATCTTCCTGCTTCCAAAACATTCAGCTGCGGGAAGCAAACCTTGCAAAAATTACTAAAGTTACAGTCTTAAGTCCATCGGCTATTCGTGGGTTTGAATTTTGATAGTCAATGGAAAGTAACTTATACTAAGTAAATCTGAAAAGTTAACCCTGAATTTCTAAAAATAATGTATAGAAATCTTTGTCAGAAGGAGCGCGAACGATTACGCCGCATAAGATTATACAATATATGGAATTAGAAACATTTTATGTATAATATAAAATATTTATATATATATTAGTATATTAGTAAATATTTATAAAAATGATCTGTCGGATATGGTATAAATCGCTTGAATTACAAACATAATAACTTATATCATTTAGCTGAGCTAATAGATAAGAAAGCCATAAATTGTTAGTAGCACTTACTAGACCAGAGGAATGATAAATTACCTATTAGCATAGCATAACGGGACGCAAAAAATAAGAAAACTAAAGTACAGTACTGCTAAATCAAAGCTTACTTAGTTTCCCTTGAGCGTTACAAATATTTATCAAAACATAATAAAGAAGAAGAATAATAACACAAAGGGGGAAAATGACATTTATATTTATTTTGCTTTTGAAATTTAAATTTTAGTACGTGGAAGAAATCTCTTATGGTTATACTGAGCTATTCAAATGTATAAGGATAAATGTTAAATTTTCAAACTGTCATTTTTTTCAATACATTCGAATATGTTGAAGTAATTACTAAATAACTTTCTTAAAATAAAAATAAAGAAATTTTATGAAAACTTTCCAAATTTCTAGACAAAACTTTCGAAATGGGCTAAAATATAACAATAAATCCTTTTTCTTTCATTTATTAAATTTTTCTTCGACACATGCAAAAAAAATTACATGCATTTTGTGCGCAAGAAATTAAAACCTCTTTCATTTCTTACTCAACTTGGCATCTGATGGCATTTCTTGACACTTAACATTTGATAGCATTCTGATTCGTAGCTTTGGGAAAAAATTAGTAGAAACTACTTTCATTACGGATTACAGATGCCCATTTGTCAATAGTGTCCTTTTCTCAAACTTAATTATTTTCTAGAGCCAGAAAAACTGTTCGCAAATAAATGTACTCCCACACAAAGTGATCATTCTTATTTCAAAAATTCGTAACTGAGGGTATCTACCTTTTGACAAGTACTATTAAAATTTGATTTAATCTGTACCTTCAAATCTTTGAATAAAATTTGTATCACACTGTTTAATTATTTACCTCCATTTATAGATTTTCTAGTGCGTTATTCACGTTTGTTTTAATGTAATAAAACTTGACTACAGATCATTAAAATCAATGCATCTTTCTTCAAATTCTCGTCATAATAATGCTACTTTTCGTGCAATATTTTTAAATATTTTTCATCCGAAATAATTGAGCATAATATAGGAAATGTACGAACATTTTGAGTCAAGTTACGTTTCCCATACTTGCAGTTTAACAACTTTAAATGGTTTAATAAGAGCAAACGTGAATGGTAAGTTTATTAACATTTAAATGTCCAGTTTTTAATTTAAACTAAGTCAATTTTAATTTAAACGAACATTAAGTCAATAAGGAATGCTAAATCGTTTAGATGTTTTTATCTAGTTATTTATTTATTTTTGTGTCCCGAAAAAACTGATTTAATTTATTAAATCTAAAAACGGTTTTAATAAATCGTCATAAATACCTTATCTCATTATACTAAATGATTTCTCTGCATTCTTTTTCAATTTCTTCAAGCAATGCAACAAACTTGATTATTTAGAACTCGTTCTCAGATAAAATTGATTGTTTTAGTTGTTGTTTCAATAACCTTCACCGTCTGTAAACTTTTGGTACGGTAGGTTACAATAAATACGTAACTAAGATATAGTTGCGAGTTGCATAAAATTGCTTCGGGGCCACCAGTTTGAAACCACAGTATTACGCTAAATGAATCAAACAAAATGAAGATGAGATAAAATTACTGAGAAGTTACGAGATTATTCGTAAAATATATAAAGGTATAAGAATGTAAAAAGTTTCGATCATTTTCGAATGTGATAATATACTTTGAGCGTAGTGCTACTAATAAAAGCCAAAGTGTTAAAAGCATTGCTTCATAAACAATAAGTTCATTTCCTCTCAACTCTCACTCCTTTTACGGGCGCACGCTTATTTCACACAATAAAAGCTTTAATTGACATTCAATTTCTATTTGTTACTCTTTACTTGCTTTGTTCGTCTAGTAAAAGTAGCATGAGTGCAATATGTAGCTTCTAAGTGAACATACAGAAAAAAGGTGTCATACTTCCATGAAAAAAGGTGTAATCGTACTTACACTAAGGAAAAAGTGCTTTGATATGGTGAAGAAATTCCCCGCTGTAAGAACTACAGGATCTATTCCTTCTCGAATGAAAATGGCCTTCAGCTATAAAACGAGAGAAATTTTTCAGGTTTGATGACGACGACCCTAGAGTGAAAGGCATGAAAAATACAGAGCAGTATGCACAGATGCGAGATATTCTCAGCTCAAATATTGAATTACATAACAGCAGAAAATGCAAAAATTCCAATTTCAGGTTTTTATGACATTTATCTAAGAATTAAAATAAAAATCGTTTGAAATAAAGGGAAAAAATGGAACCAAGAAAAGGGGGGATTTTTGTCTGGGGTTTTCACTAACGAACATACACGAAAGCCATTTATTCAGTGCTTTCCAAATGTGACTTATGAGAAATTAAGTTAACGTTAAGTTATAGAGCGATTATAAAGGTACACGCTACAGATACTTTCAAAGTAAGGAAAGTATTCAGAAACCTTAGAGTTTAACATGCTACGCATTTACAGTATCGAATGCTTTGATGTTATTGCGTTGATCATAACAGTAATGCGAAGTTTCGCAAGCGAAAGTTTATTTTCCTTGAGTTAAGCGGCAGAAATATTCAGATTTTAAAACTAAACAGTATTATTATGTTACAGCATTTCAAGAATATATCCAATTTTTATAATTTTACATTGTTTTAGGGAATTTTCGGACATTACAAATATTTCAATTATGACAACTGAAAAATTCGTAATGCTATACATAATCCATATTCATAAATTTATGAATATTTCATTTATGAGAAATTAAAAGACTCCTTCTTCATTGATTGCATTCAGCACCATGTTGACAGTTTAAGTACACTTAAACTGAAAACTTCTTCCAATTTTCTAAACTTTACTAGAATGTTATAGAAAAAAAGGGAAGGCACTTTCATAATTGTTCCTGGTTTTCTAGTTAATAGATCGGTTAACTTTAAAAAAAAACAATTCTGTAGAAGGTATGAAATCTAACTTTTTACATGGCCTCTTAATATGGTATTTTATGCGGTATTTATACAATCTTTTATATGATAAATGTTTATACGATCTTAAGTTCAGCAAATGTCTATACTCACTCTAAAAAATAAAACACAAAATGTTTGATTGCCGTACACCGAAATATAACCGAGATATTTAATATTAAATGTGCAGATTATGCTTTCTGAAAATTCAGAAGAAATATCAGTTTGATGCAAAGTTTCTGATGCTGGTTAATTAACAGACTAGCACTGACATGCAGACTGTGAAGAAGTTTTAATGAATGGAAATATTTTCACCAAGGTGATCATATTCAGATACACTTAACAGAATTCGTGATTTAGATGAAAGTGGCAGGGTTCTAGTAATGGCGTCTAGCCCACTAACAACATTATTTACTTAAAATAAAAATGAAAAATATTTCTAGCTCAATGACTTCAAAATAATTTCAGTGAAAATACTTTCAGAGTATCAAATGTAATAAAAATATAAGTTAAAGAATGTTACACACTAGTAAATCACAAATAAACATCACTAAATGACATCATATGGGTAAAAGATCAAGCTCGAATTATCCTAATCTATGCTTTAATGTTACGTTAAGTTTTAATATTATGTTAATGTTATGTCGATACCTAAAGAGGGCGATAACTTTGATTTTCTGGCGCTGTAAAATCTATAAAATTACAGATTTTAAAATTAAATATCTCGGCCAAATTTTGTCGTGCGGGAGTCAGGCTTTTGTTTTATTTTATGTTTTGGGTGTATCGTGGCCAGGGCATTGCGTATTTCTTCAGTTTCCCGACATCGAAAAACCCCATGATTCTACGACACAAATTAGTAAATTATTTAAGTAAAAGACAAAAGAGTTACGTTGTAGAAGTTATGCTATTAGTGGCTGGCCACAGTTCTTCCATAATTAATCTGCCACTGATTAAAACAATGCCTGCGAATTAAAGGTTAAAACAATAACTAGGAATGAATAATATGCCCCTAGTAAAAGGTGACTCTAATAAAATCTACTCCGATTATTGTTGGTTTGCTTAGAGTCATTGAGGACGTAGGTTACAGCGTAGTTTAAAGCGGTTAAATAGCCGATAGCTCTTCACTTGCATTAGGTTCCAAAAGTTTTCCGTTAATTTAATTTGGCTCTGCAGTTCGCAGCGGTTATATGAATTATAATTTGAAAGCAGTTAATTTCTCTGAAACTGTTTAATTTGTTCTCTACAGGTAAAATGTATCGTTATTGTGTTTCAAATTAGTTTTCAGTTTCACCAGTAGATGAAGTTCTTGGGTGACGGCAAAAATTCACAAATATCCTTTAGTTTCTAACCGTTAGTAAGGTTTAAATAATTAAAATTTAAAGTAAGTATTGGCTAAAACTCCAAAGCACTATCAAAAGCATATTTAACTTTTACAGTATAAAATTTCAAGAAATTTCCTTCTAGACCTATAGATATCTATTTAACCTGTCTATATTTTCCTCTCACGTCATTCATCAAACTTCATTATGCGTCATCTTACGCTACTTTTCCCTCAAAACTTGACTGGACTGTTATTCATTCTTGATACTACATTTCTTTATATTTAACTATATATTCATGAAGATATAAAGATAAGGGAAATAACGTTGTGTAGTTTACTAATAAACAAATGTAAAGGTCAGTATAAAAACTAGCCCAAATTAGCAAAAAATTAAATAATTAAATTAAGAATTTTTTTTGCTTCTCTTTTCTAATTTTTATATTGCGTAAGGATTATGTTAATTTTAAGTTCCTTTCCTGTCGATTCTTAACTTCAACTTACTACTTCCGGCCAGAACGTAGTTTTAGAATCACGTCTGAATACATAATGAGGAAAGGCGGTACAACTGCGAAGTTCTTCGGTTCTTAGGGAGAGAGATACCAGGTATTCTGGATAGCACGCGTCCGCCTTTTTAGGCTACTCTCTCGTAAGCTATTATTACGCTCGGCCGTACTTTAGGCCCTTGATAGCTTCTCAGTCAATTAGCGTTAAGGAGCCAACTCGGTTAGAATCTTGATAGCTTCGGCTATATCTCTTTAGTTTAGATTAGTTTTAGTTTAATTCTTAGCCTCTTAAGTTCAAGCCCAAGTGTCGGCTTTTATTGTACATTCCAAGACAGAGTTCTGTTAAATCTTATTTGAATAATAAAGGGTTATTTACCCTTCCATCTTGTTGTTTCTTGTCACACGAACTCAAGCGATTATTCGCTGATCAGTTCTTAAGATTCTTCACGTGCAACTGTAACTTAGCATTTACAAAGTGGGCAACTCAACAATTGAATAATAATTTTTTATTCATTTATTCAGATTTCTTAAGATATTACACTAGACTCACGAAAATCACAAAAGATCGGTTAACTTCTTCGTAGTTTTATACACATAGTAAGACAGCCAGCTACTAGAACTCAAACAGATGTACCAAAGAGTACATTCTAACCTAATTGTATTAGGAGCTCTTAACAATGCCATTCTTATTGCTTGTAAGAAATTGCTTGAAATGAAATAAGCGGAAGGTACGTATAAGAAATAGTATATTGGGATAGTAATTTATCATTATATCACACCTTCATTTCGTAATATAAAGGAAAATTCTTCTAGAATAAAAGCATATGTGTTCAGAAATTCTAGATCACACTTTTGAAAACCTTAAAAATTGGAGCTTTTAATCTTAAAATGAAAGCTTTTTAGATTAAATGCTGCATAATAAATATGCAAATATGTTCCGAAATTAATATGTCAAATTCTGTATTAATGATTTTTATGCATTACCTGGTATCGAACTTCTTTCTCCAAGCCAGAAATATCAAGCTTCCACGTGTCAGCAACAAGACTGTTAATCTAAAATTAATGTCAGATTATACAAGTAAAAATTAACATTTTATAATCATCAAAAATAGAAAGGTCTTTTACTAAGTATAGAGATGTTGAAATGGAAGACTATATTTAACGCAGTTGCTACATCATTCCCTGCAATGATCCCCAAATGTACATTAAATATATTGTCATGTTTCTGTCACTATATAAAAACTAATGTGCGGAGCACAGCAATTCTACTTTAATATGTCAGTTATCAGTTAAATAACTGGGAACGCAGCATTTATGAAGCAATGATACACCAAATGGGAATTAGTCCCATACAAGGTATTGCTTGCTTGAAACTGTAAATGAATCATCAATTATAAAATTAAAATAAGGTCTTTTTATAAATGTGTTGATTGTGTTAATGTTTGATTAAAAGTATTGGTATTTTTTCTTTGTGTTGATTGTGTTAACGTTTGAATAAAAGTTTAGGTTATTTTTCCTTCTTCACTCTTTGTGAAGAGCGAAAGATTGTTCTACAAACAAGTGTGGATGAAATTGTTCGGAGTTTTCCCTTAAAAGTAAAATACAAATTATGTTTATTATTAAAAGTTAAGCAAGCTTAAAATATCGGTTTATAAATTTATATCAACAAATGATACCCTTCTTTTTTTTTCCATCATGCTAAACGCACGGTTAGTGACGCCAGTTATAAATAAGAAAGTTTTACACAGACATGCGATGTATCGCATTCATTTTGATACTGTTAACCAGAGAACAGAGGCTCCATTACCTAGCTGACATGACGTCTGCCTAAAAAAGCGTTTTTCGTAGTCGCAGATCAATTTATAGATTAGTTTCTACTTTAATATTACTTGTACGTGCATATGTATAAGTCGCCCTGTGTATGCATATTTCTATCATAAATTTTCTATATTATTCAAATTATTGCGTTTTGAAATTTTTTTAATATTTTTTAACTTTAAAATTAATTTTAAATTTATTCACAGAATGCAACTTCTTCTCTCTTATTACATTCAGAATGAACTGCAAAGCAAGTAATAATATCAACAGTTTTGAATTTTATTACTTTCATCACTTGAGCAGAATATACATTTCACGTCTAAAACAGCAAGCAAACTACTCAACCTTTACCTACTTTCCGACCACCACTACCAACAACTTTCCAATCAGCCACTAGCTACAACTATATCAACCATCACCGACAACAGTACCAGCTACCGCTAACACGTATACAGATCAATTCAGTAAATTTTGATATTTTAGAGCCATAGATTCGAAATCTAGAGGAAGGATTTTCAAACAATGATGCATGTATTACTAATGGTGCAGTACATTATTTTTGGTGATACAAGTTTTACACAAAAGATTTAAATGAATATTCAAAACCAATGTAATACGGCGTGAATTTTCATCGGAAAATGCTTTTGTGATTGCACATATATTTCTGATTCTTATACGTCTTGTATAAAAATTGAAAAGGTTTGACAAAGCCTGGTTTAGAAGGTAATGCGAGAAGTTCACGCAACTGTTTCCTCTTCTAATACAGATATTTGCAAATTACATGCCTAGAGATGAGCTTTCCGAAGGCGAGGAGAAATTTAGAAGTCGCAAGGTCAGTAACAAGCTCTAGGTGAACTACGGGTATGCCTAACGCGCAGTGGCATTCATTACAGGCTTTAGCCGAACCTTTATGTTTCACAAGCATTAAATTACATTTTTTTTTTAAATTTCAAGTACATTTTACAAGAACTGTACTTTTTAGGCGAGTTTCATATTTCATATTGATGAAAAAACATTATTTTTTTAGTAATTTCATTGTTCCAGAAAAACAATTGTTAAAAGGCAGCAATATATGTACTGTATGCATTTGCAAAAGCTATACAATCGGAATATTAGTTGCAAAATTTTCCTCTAAAATAGTACTTCTCAGAACGCTTGTGGTGTTGTGCGGTTTTCATAACACTAGTAGCAATAAAATACTGTTTTCAGCTGCAAGTGATTGAGGTTCTCCTAGAAGATTAAATTTAAAATTTATTATTTCTAAGGTATTAAGTTTACAACAATCATTTCATTAAATTTGCATTATCAAAATATTATTTAAATAAAGCAGTCTTATTCCTGTACGCGACATTTAATGAAAATATCTAAATGTATTGTAATTATTATTAGCTTTTTTCCCTGGTGACACTTATTTGCAATAAATAATGGCGTGTGTGAAACAATATCATTTGAGGCAGCTGAGTGAATGTTTGAAAGTAGAATAATACATAAACATTTTTGTAAACATCGATATTTGACTTAAAATTAACTGCAGAATTTTAATGTAACATTTTAATACCTGTGTCTGAAAATTGGTTCCTTCTGTTGCCAACATCGTGAGTTTTGTAAGTTGCAGTATCACAATAAATGCAGGAAGTAATACTGCAATTGAATCGTTTTCTCTTAACTGCAGTATTGTCCAATAAAGCCCTACGCAAAATAAAGCAGGATTGCAGATTACGCTGACGCATAATAATAAAGAAAATATTCTTGCAATATGCTGAGCGGTAGAATGCAAATTTTCGTAATATTCGTTCCATACCCAAAATTTTTCTTCAAAATCAAAAGAACTTTTGTTTTTCAATAAAACAAATTCTACTTTAGACTTTCGAACAGCATCTCGCATTGCTTTTGATATGCAGAGAATCCATAAATCAACGAGAATCGAAATAATAAAGGTGTGAAGTACCGGGAAAAGCCGGAAAGTTAAAAGAAGAAAATATATCACAATATTATCAGTACGCAACTTAGGTATGATTAAAGAGCTTTGCAAATAACAATCTTCTTCCTCGTCAACAGGCATTGTTTGATTAGTCATCTTGCATTTTGTAACACTCATTAAACCAGTGAAAGAGAATGCTAAAGCTAATATGCCAAAACTTACAGCTAAGTATTTTGAAGAACTGGCTGTGATAACGAAATTTTTAGAAAACATAAACACTGCGTGCAAGATAGTTGCCATTTTTCTAATCATTATGATCATTAAAACGTGATTTGTAAAACCTTGAAGTAAAAACCCTGCACGAACACCTTCATAAATAAGTAAAAGGGATATATTAGGCTCTTGAAGTCGCTCTAAAATTTCAGCCGAACTCTCAATTATACACATGATGTCAACTAGAATAAAAAACATTGAAACAAATATTAAAGATGATGATAGAGGACTGTCTTTCAAAGTATATCTTGATTTTAAAGGAAGAAACCCGGAGCATCTCATAATATAATAGATATAAGGAAATAGTCGGCTGATATCTACGCTCCTATTCTTTTTTGCAATCACTGAAGCTTTCTTCATAGTTTTATGCTATATAATGTATTGCACTGCGTTATCAGACTGAATTATCATACTGAAAATGTACTCTCGAGTCCCACTGCATTATCATACTGAAAATGTAGTCTCGAGTTTTCGTTTGGGTATGATTGCGGTTTTCAAATTATATTCCGTCTTTCTCAACTCTTGCATCATATACAAAACGAAAATACAAACCTGCGATTAAAATTTCAATTACCAAAGACTTTTTTCTCTTGAATTACTTTAACTTCAAATTCAGAATGCAACATGACAGGAAGAATCAAATTAATGTAAACAGTACTAGGATTCGGTTATTTGAAAGCTGCTAGCTGTAAATAGAGCTTGCTCTCTTCTTTTTAATCATTTTTTCTTACCATGGTCATTACCCTCTTTGAAACTATAATTCTTGTTTCAGTAGAAGATTTTAATGCAATAGAAAGCATTTCACTGAAACTGGTTTTGTCGCAACTAAACTCTTAATAAAGGAAGTATTACTGCAGAACGTAGTGATCTCGTGCAAACTCACATTAATTTAATATTATTTTCAAGGGTATACGAAACAACCGGCCTATAATATTCCAGATATTTGATGTACGAACGTTTTTGTGGAATGATACAATATTTACGCATTTTCATAGTAAAAGATCCTTCATTTTCGTTTTAAAAGATGCTGTATCAAAATAATTGAGGCACAGAAAATACAATTGCGTGTTATGATTTGCTAAAAATCTGTTTTGGCCAGATTATTTCCGTATGTTGTTTTACTGCCCTGCGTGCGCTATGATTGCAGCTTTATAATGCACGTATCATAATATTAATCTATCCAAGTAAATTTTTTTTTACTTTACTACATGTGTCAATATTTAATCTAAACACTGGTACACTGAGTTGGAAAATAAGCGCAACAGCTTATGTAATAGGGCATATTCATGGTATGGAAATGATATTTACCACGAAAAGAAGTGATATGCGCGGTAAAATAAACCGAATGCTTCTTTTGAAATTATGTGTACAGCATGCCTGCATTATGAAATATGCGCCAAAAACTTGCGTAAAATCTTCGCCTTGAAATAAAATTAATCCTTGAAATGGAAGACTTAGGTCAGGAACTCAGCATCAAAATCCAAGATATTTGTTAGATAGATAGATGCACATACGTATATAGCTATAAATACATACGCAGATATAATTTTGGAATTGAATAAATATGAGTCTGTTTACTTTTAACTGTTTTAAATATAAAGAAATTTATCAGTTTTGAAAGATACAGCTGTTTGGAGATATCACCTGATATAACAATTTTTATATCCTAAATGATCACAAATTTGCGAGATTTTCTGCCATTTTTCTTTGCATTTTGGAGATCCATATTTAAAGTTGTTGATCAAAGATTTAAAAGCTGGCCTTTGAGCGAAAAACTGAACATTTAAATTTAAAACATATACTTATGGCTATAGCAGTATAAAGAAGGTTAACTGCCAGTGAAAAAAATAGGCGCAATGTGAATACGATTTTTTCCCTTTATTTCTGAATTTTCGAAAGAATAATGGCAGGTGTTTTCTTTCTATGGGCCGCATTTAACTATATGTAAAAAAATAATAATAACAGAGAGATCTGATAAATTAAAGACGGAAGTGTAAGAAACTATATAACAAAGAACTTATCCTGGTGACAATTTTTCCTATGGCAAGAAGAAATCGAATAACTCCCGAAACGTTTACCCTTAGCTTTGAAGATGAAAGTACAATGAATGATGCCTTTGGAGCATATTTCTCAAAGCGGCCATCTGAACTAAGTACAATCGCGCGCATAATCAAACCATTTGGTTTCTTTCCTTTCCGTTTCAGGTCAGATACAAATAATGGAAACTTACATACCGAGATATCAACATTTTGGTTGCTGATATCAATAATCATATTAATTGGACAGCTAAGTAATCTTTCGTTTACAGCAGGTAGTTACATCCTATATGACAGTGCAAAGTGGTCTGGTTTGGTTCCAACAGTATGGTTATTGACGCCCTCCATAATATTTATCCAGTCGACATTTTACCAAATCATTATGTTGCTGCGTATGAAAAAGTTGCCTGCTGTTTACCAGAATGTAGCTACCCTTCTTTCTATTTTGCAAATACCTTCATCTCGGAAGATAAAGTCTGCTATAATTTTAATTACATGTTTTGCTCTGTTACTACCTTTTATAGCCTATATTAGTACATGCAAAACTATATCTAAGGCTGCCGTATTAAATAAAGCTTTGCAATCTGAACATTGCACGATATGGTATTCCAAGATGTTTTCGCAGTTTAGTCATGATCGTATGTGGTACATTATATTAGGCATACAATATATAGCCTTATTTCTATCAGCTATAGGTCCTTTGTTATTAGAGCTATGGATAGCCGTATGTACAAAATATATATGCGATGTCTTTCGCTATCATTTAGAAAGTCTGAAGAATATAATCGTTGATGATAAATTCGTTGAACCTCTTAAATTATCGGCATGGGTTCGTGATTTCTCTTGGGCATATTCTCTAACTGACGAATTTGTGCGCTTCATATCCCCAATGCTACTCATTACTCTTGTGACAAACCCAATTATATTTTGTTTACAAGCCTTTTGGCTAGCTGAAAGTCATAATTATCGCATGTTCAATTCTTTGGAATCAGCAGTTTTTCCTGTAATTATTCTTGTGTCTTCTTTTTTAAGGGTTACATATTTAGGACTTTCCGGCGAGAGTTTTACAGAAAATGTAAGTTCAAAAGATTTTGCTTGTATTTTGATTTTGTGTTTATCGCTATGCATGCATTTTTACAGTATTAAGTAAAAACATTTTATTTCTATTTTGATCTAGTATTTTGTCATTATTTATACATTTTATAGTGATTAAGTTCAAAAAATTTTAATTATACTTTGATTTAGTATTTATATTTATGCATCTTTTTACAGTTTAAATCGAAGTTGGCTTAAAAATCTAACCGACATAATAATTTAAATAACGGCAGCATATAATACAATGCCGAATAACAACAAATTTAACAAGGACGGCAAAACTAAGATAACGTGCCGCCGAGAGACAGAAACTTGTTCTGTCTTACAATCCAAAAGTCTCAGCTTAAATACTCTTTAGCTCATTTGATTTTACTGGATCTTGTCTTATAAAAAGGTTTGTTTGCAAGATCATGAAAAATTATTGCGACAAGCAATCAACGTAGAAAAAAACTGTCCGCGTAAAATGCCGAAGAGGGGAAAAAAGTGCATGGGCTTTTTCCCCCTGTAAATATTGTTTATAATACTCTTTATAACGAATCTTCGTTATTTCCAATTATATTTATTCTTTCGTTTTTTACGGTAATATTTTAATTTATTTAATTAGCGGAAATAAATGATCTTATTCTCTAGATTAAATCGCCTCAGCTAAATTGTTAATAGAGTTTCTCTGTTTATTATAATATGGATTCCCTCCTTTTTTTTTCGTTTTAAGCGTCCTTGTAATAAGCAAGATTTTGAGCTAACCGTAAGCGTCGTTCTCAGTATTACCGAACTAAATTGGGAGTTAATTGTAGCTAAAATTTAAAACTTCTGGATAAAAAAATTCCTCATATTTTTACAATATTTCTGTGTGCTCCACTTATCCGAAGCTTATTAGTGTTCCAAAATTATGTATTTACTTATGCAGCACGTAAGGAATCAACATATAAATACGTTATGTAGCAGTAGAAAAAGGAAAGAAAAGTCTTCTCTTCTTTATATTTTAGAAACTGGAACTCTGGTTAAAATTCGATTGCATGAAAGAAGGGTTATTACTTAAAAAATGTTAAAAGGATTCTTTCTTACACAATTCCGTGTAAATTTCGAATTACAGTAAAGGAGATATTATTCGATATAAATAAAACTAAATAGTAATCGAATAACTGAGAATGTCGCATAACATAGCACAAAGATCGGTTGTAGAGAACATTAGGAGTTTTGAAGCTGAAAACTGACTATGCCCTCCCTGGAACTGGAATCACGGATCTTTCGATTGCTAGCTGGACATACTACCGACTGCATCACGAATGGTCACACGGGAGAATGCAATAATTTCTAACACAGTCGTTGAAACAGACTCGCCGAACAAAAGTAATACTTCAGTGCAAGCTTGCAGCAATGCAAGAACCACAAATGTAATAGTGCATAATTATTCATTCGTTTATGTTAATAATAGTAAAATTATCCCATTAGGAAATAAACGTAAGTCCTTTAATGAACGCATTGCACTGAATAAATGTTGTGCAACAGAAAAAAGAAATAGGTTGTGATGAATGTTAAAGGAAGTAACTATACGTACTGTGTAAAGTTAAACAAATTGTTTTGAGAAATGGCTAGTTAGCGCAATGGCCATGTTAAAATTTTTACTTACTTGCGAGCAAAACAAGCATGTTTCTTTTCTGAATGAAACATATGGTAATAATAATGATAAAAAGATTTCTAGCACGAACTGAATTTTCATGGTGTGTCGAATCAAACGAATCGAGACCCCATTACACATATCGATATTTTTTGTTACTGATAAAAGCAATTTTCTATCTTTTCAGGTTAATGCACTGTCGAAACTTGTACCGCAGCTTCCTCATAATGGATTCCCAACAGAAATTAAGTATCAGGTAAATTAAAATTTAGTCATTAGTAATTTTCAGTGTTATTCAGTTATATCACGAAAGACATTTTCATTGTTTTTAGAACTGAAAATTTGCGCGTTATCAACAAAAATGAGTTCTTAATAGTAAAGTTGCAAATGTAGATTGTAAATATGATATCACTAAAATCACTGAGGTAAAATATGATTACAAAAAGTGTGCTTTCAACCTTATGCTATTGCGATAGTAAAAAAGCTGACAAATTTAATATTCAATTACCTACCGAATTTTAATGCAATTTGTTAATGTTATGCTTCAGAGTATGTGGCGTTAAATATTTGAAACAAACGCGGAATTTTAAATAAATTTTTGATTGCGGTATTTGGTATAGACTAACTAGCTGCCATATTAGCAATCCTAAGCATCCTTTAGAACAATGGTCTTAAGCTGCATGAGGGCTGAATGCATGATCTGAAAGCAGCTGGATGACCGGATTTTGTTTAACAAAATGGAAAACAAATTAAGTGAATAAAAAATTGCAGCTAAATTTTCAACTTTACTTACTAAATATTTGTCAAATTATACATAAATAATAATAATAATAATAACGCAAATGAAAAAAATTAAATTCATATTTATTTTCTAACTAAATTCTAAAGGTTGGTGCTTCATAGAAATTTCTACTGGTTCTACTTTGATTGCACCTCATTCTATTGGTTCCATATTGGATTTTCTGACTGACATTTATTTCAAATAATTGTAATATTTAAGCTAACTATTAAACAACCTACATAATTCTTTCTTTTATTTGATAACTTTTTCTTCGACACTTGCACAAAAAATACATATACTTCTATGTAAATAATTATACATTTTATTTCTTACTACAGATTGACAGTTATGGCCTTTCGATTCTGATAAATTTTGTAGCCTTAGATAAAATTACTAGAAACTATCTTCATCGCGGATCGTAAATTCTAAAACCTGTTAACATACAAATGTACCAGTTATTCTTATTGAAAAATTTCTTAACTGAGGATATTTATCTTTCGACACGTACGAATAAAGTTAATGAAATCTGTCTCTGCAAATTATTGAATAAGATTTATATTGCACTGTAAATAATTAGCTCCATTCGTAGATTTTTCTAGTACATTATTCAAAAAAAATTTACAAAGGCGATGAAAATGATGCAAAGTCGGACACCAAATCATTAAAATCTTGAAATTTTATTTCAAGTTCTTGTCGTAATATTCCTATTTTTGTTGCATATTCTTAAAATTTTTCATTTGAAATAATGGGTCAGGAATTAAGTGGCAGGCGACAGAAAGGTTTTGAATCTAGTTATGCTTCCCGTTATCACAACTTTAAAAGTATACAAGTTTATTCTTTCCTTGCAGCTTTTTATTGAGAGTATTTAAACTGCCGCTTAAACCAACAAGGAATGCTAAATCACTGTCACATAACGCGGCACACAAGAATACAATGACAAAATACCGAAATTCCTTCGAGGGCTCCCAGTTTGAGACCACTGCCACAGAGGAACATTTCCGGAGTTCTTACTGACGTCACACTCAGAGTAAAATGTGAGAAACTTCAAATTACACAACGGACTACGTATTGAGCAGCTTAGGTCTTTCCAACTGTCGCACTGCACGCAAAGTCTACAACGATCAAAAGCACGTTAATAACCTTGTCATCAAGGTCTATGACTATAACGTAAATGTATGGTAAGGTCGATGTAAAGTAAAAGTAAAAGGTCGATGCCTATACTAGGAAATTTACCTGATTAATGTTTGTACATCAATTTTGTTATTTAATTTGTACACAATTATGTATTTAAGTATATAGGTGTGTGCATTCTGTATTGTCACTGTTAATTACCATAGCGCTCCCTCGGATTCACACTTATATTATTTATTTATATATATGTGTGTATGTCATTTTTGTTCGATAGGTTATCACCAGTTTGACGACCCTTTTAGTTTCTCAGATGGCATTTTCATAATTTTTGATATCTTTGCACGAACTGTTTTATTATTAACTTAATTCGTTCAAAACATTGAAAAACCTAAGTATTAAGCCATGTAAATATGTATATGCTTACGCTAATTAATTGTGATATATCTAGTTATTTTCCTGTATCTTTCGTAAACTACACTATTTTTCGATTAGGAGTAGGGTCGTAGACTCAGGCATCCTGGTGCTACACCGAATTTTATCTCGTGCAATCAGAGTAAAATACACTTAACGAGCCCGTTCCACGATGAACTAAAACCCGACAGAGCTGGTGGTGTTCAATGGTTAGGTATCTGTAGCAATTGAAATCCTCAATCCAAAACAAAAGTAAATAAACAAACAAAATAATAATAATTTTTTTAAATGCTTTCAGAACTTTACTTCTCTTTTACTGGGCACCCATAAACGAAGGATTAACTTTGAATAATCTTATAGTGAACATTTCTGCTGCGACCAAGTAAATACATTCACATTTTCAAATAACAAAATAACATATTAGCAGTTCTTCAACTTAAATTACTGCGATCAGTTAACGTGCATTGAAAGTTAAAGTGAATACTAGCTCTTTAGGAAAGCAAAATTAGTGTAATTTTAAAATACGGAAATCGTTGTAACCTGAATTTTCCAGTTTTTCAAATGGCTGGTATATGAATAATCATTAAATAAAGGAAGCAAATCTATAAGTATTGGAGATGCAATTTGCTTAAAAAAATGATATTGTAATCGTTTTTGCCAGAATGTATTAATTTTTTCTGATTTTGATCTTCCAGGTTGATTTAATAATGTACAGAGAAGTTGTTTCGCCACTTTCTTTAACAGCATGTAGTTTTGTGTCATTTTCAAGAATGCTCATAACAACGGTAATAAAATTTTTATTTAAGTGGCCCTTTTTTAAATGTTCAGACTTTTTTTTTTCATATTTATGTTTTAATGAACATTTTAACTCTTTGGACGTTTTATAATAAAATATATGCGACAAATTTTGTAAATTAAAACCGCTGGGAAGAAATAAAAAGATAATGTAAAAACTGCTTTGCAAATGCTAGCAATGATGAAATTTAAAGCATGTTGTACTGAAATATTTTCGAGCATTTAATAAAATGCTTGAAAATATTTCACATGTGTAAAACAGAAATAATAAGCAAAAAAAAAAATTTATTCTAGATTTAAAAAATTAAATTATAAATTTAAAGTGAAACTTATGTCATGAAAAATAATATCAGTGTTAGGCTAATGAACATGAAATATATTTATTATGTTTTAACCGTCTTTAATTTTAATAAAAATGTAACTGGAAATTAGAATAAAATTTAAAAAAGACGTAGTATTTTAAAAATAATTTTAACGAAAATCACTTGTGAAATCCACAATACAGTTTCATATCGTTAGAACATTGAGCATCAGTTCGAATATTCTACGCGTCGGTAGCGAAAGATCTGGGAAAAAAATTACATGTAAATGATAAATTACATGTAAATGTAAATGATATGAGGCAGTATAAAACAGACAGCATAAAAACTTCTGGTCGGGGAAAAAATTAATAAAAATTTTAAAAAAGTGCTCGTGTATACGCATTTAAGATAAGATTTTTAAATTTGAATATCCTCGAAGTTCCCTTTTCAACCTTTTTGGTCTACTAATGGGTTCGCTACCTTCACATGTAGAGGCCTATGTTGTGGGCATTGCTTTTAATGATTGTGGGCCCTGCTTTAATATCTGGCAGACTGTCCGCGTGTGTTTTCTCATTCCATTTGTGGATATTTGCTTTTAAATGTTGTTTATGGAAAAATTTGGTAGTAAGAACAAGTCAAATAGGACCTTGTTAACATATTGCACCTTTTACACTTATAAACCATATTCAGTAGATTATTTGACTTTTCTTTTTTTTGGGGGGGGGTGTCTAAATAATCCAGAGAAGGTTTAATTTAGCCTTCTACCTTTCCCTGTCAGTAAACCAAAAAATACTTACAATAAATTTTTCTAAATGTGCCATCACAGAATTAATAGCTAACATGTGATTATTACATGTTAGAAGATTACATAGCTCAGATGATGCACATATTCACATAAAGGCAAGACAGAAAATAAAATAGTTTATGCATTAATATTCAAACCGAAACTTGTAATAACCAATAATAAAAATAAAGGGATACTATGGCTTTTTTGAAAAATAAAATAACTGCGTCGTTTTTATTCAAACATCTCGTGATAATATTCTTTTCTAAATACCCGCGTTCGATAAGTTAACGTATAGTCTGCAACTTCTTTATTTTTCTTTCAACAACTATAATGCTTTAAATATGTGAAACGTATATTTGAAGTAGTTGCGGTATGAACGTGCTGGTCTCATCCACTGTAATATACTGTTGTGTTTATCAGTCTACAAATTATGGGTAAATAAAGATGGTTTTGAAAATCCGTGACTGCCAGTTATTAAAAAGACGAAGTCCAGCAACTTCATCTACGTCAAACCTAAATTTTTGTTTATTTAATCAAGGAAGTTATTTCTCCCGCCTTCCTAGCGTGCCTTCGTGGTGTAGTGATTCTGCAGGCTGGGTCGGTATTTCGGGGTTCGTGGTTCGATTCCCGGCGGAGGCGGTGGCTAATTTTTCATCATTTCCGGCCTCCAAAAAAATCCTAATGTTTCTACAAAGTAAAAAATTACCCTCTTTTATAGGCATCTTAACATGAACATATTATTTCTTCCTGCTTAATGAACTCTAGTGAAGACAGTTAATTACATCCTGAGGATAGTTACTTACATCGGTCACTGGTCTTTCCATATAAGTTTTTCACGTGCATGGCACCCATAGTGTTTCTGACGGAAGGAGGAAGAAAAAAAAATCTATAGCTAACTTAAATTACTTTCTTAAAACCCATTACAGCCTTTAAGCAAATTCTGTATGATTTTCTAGCAATTTATTATACTATGTTTTCTCCAACAGGTACTGGGAGCTACAGTGACGTATTTAATTATACTCGTGCAAATGTCATCAGAGAAACCGTGCTCTTGAAATACGGTTCGTGCAAGGAAGCAAATGTAATGAAAAAATGCTGCGAAACTGTGACAGATATTGTTCTATTAAATTTCTTACATAAATTAATAAAAAAAACGGTGATGAGAAAATTGCATATTTGTTAATAGACTCGACTTTCCTATTTCATTCACAGGACGTTGTGGGCTGTATATGAAACTTAGTTACGTAATAGGTAGTAAAAATTAAGAATTGAATCACTTAAAATGATTCGTTGAAATATTAGCATTTTATAACTATATCATTCACGTGATTAAAAACACTGTACGTTTCAATATTTACTTCAGAATTCTTTTTTATTTACTTTATTTGAAGATCACGCCAGGAAAATAAATATTGCTATTCGACTCCAAATAGTACACAATAATCTAATCATATATGGTAGCAAATTGCGGAGAGTAAACGAAGACACGGAGAAAACAATTTTCTTTAAGGAAGATTACTTTGCATCGGAGATATACTCAGTGATTCTAAGATGATGTTATAAATTGTTTTTGACCTGAGAGAAAAAATGTAAATGAAAGAGCAATTTATAAAGAAGTAAGAATACAATAAAATAATACAATAAAAAGTAAATTTGGGGTGCTTTTAACAATATCAGCAGAAATAAGTGGAACCTAAATCCATTTATGAAAGTATACCTTTCTGCGGCTAACAAAGAAAACGTATGTATTCTCCTTCATTTAAAAAGAAGAAAATCTAAATTTACCACATTGGCCCGAATGTAAGAGGATTTATCCCTCGCAAAGCAGATTTCTGAAAATTTTATCCACTTTATTTTTTCCAACTAAAAATTTGCCCGCCAATAATTTTTTTTCATTAAATTAAATTATTTGATTCTGAATATGTAACACATACCTGTAAGAAAACAATTAAATGACAGTTCCGTATAAAAAGGGTTCGTAGCAAACCAGGGAACGACAAGTCATTGAAACTGTTTTCACAAATCAAGGTATAACTTCCATCGCACATAAACAGTAGCATACATTTATTACTGTTAGTTAAAAAAAGACAGATAGAAAAGTAAAAAAAAAAAAAATTTAATGAGGTATTGCTTGATTATTTTCTTCCCTAATTCTAAAAACGTTTAATTCTGAATATGTAATAAATATACAAAAATAAAAAAATATTAAAAACAACGGCTAGGTATAATACAGCATACGATTGACACAACTAGCCATTAAAAGTACAACTCTGTGAGAGAAAATCGGCTTCCAAAACTGGATTTGTGAAATGATGCTATTTACAAATTGTAGAACGTAAAGAATTTAGTCTGTCATCTGGTCGCTGGAATGGCAATAACTACTGTTACACTTAATTAATAAAACTACTACACTGCAGGTTTTTATATAGTTTATAAGGTATTTCTCCCGCCTTCTTAGAACGTTCAGATTCTTAGCATATTCAGAAAAATGTTTTCTAACATATCTGAAACTACGTAACGGTGCGACTGAACATTTCAGACACAAAACTAAGCATTTTCTTCCGTCCTCCAGTTATAATTGTTGAATGGTATTAGCAAAAGTATACTAAAATCAAAAGAAATGAAATGTAACGGTCTTTGCTAGTACAGTAGCATAAACAGATTTTCATTTGATTGAAGTATAAAGTAATTATTTACAAAATAGATCCAATGATTTTTTTAAAATTTTTAACTCATACACATTTCTTTGGAAAGAATAAAATGTGTGAAACGGGATAGCGCTATTCGAGAAAGCTTTGCTGGAATTTGGTAAATCACAGGACGGCTATATGCCGACCAGCGGGATACTTTGGTGAAACTAGTTCATATATACGCTCTCATTGTTTTAAAATAAGCTGTAAGCCTTTTCAGGGTTTTATACAAAAACAATAATTTTGTTTTTTCCACACAACACAAGAACTGATATAATGAGATCAAAACCTAGCCCTAAATAACTAATGCGAATTGGATTATCAGTTACATTTGACACTTTTTATAAGGATAAAACATTTAAATTCTCAGATCTCGCGATTCTTCAGCAAGACTGAAATTTCCAAAACTCGAAACTTAGGCTTCTTTTATTCAAATTTTCGAATCCTAAAACAAGAAATCACTAAAAACTCACTAAAAATGAACGCGGTTATTGAAATTTTAGTGCCATCTGATTCACTAGATTTACCCTCTGACGGTCCTAAGTGCCACACTGTTTCAGTGTCGCATTCGAAAAAAACCTTTCAAAATTCTCGCTCAAGTAATCACGGCATTGCTCTTAGAAACAACCAGGAGCTATTCATACCAGGTTATCTACGTCCGGAATTGAAGGATTTGCAAATTCTCAAAACCAACTCTTGTATGATCTCGATAATTCTGGACATAGATAACGTACTACAAATAGTTACTCTGTGCTTCTAATAGCTTATGTCTAGGTATAACAACACTTGAACAATCACCTAACTCCTGTTGAACTACTTAGGCTGTTTTGCTGAATTTTGAACTGTTAACTGAAACTTGAGCTGCTACTCAAATATACTTATTAAATTAAAGAAAATTCATCTCAAAATTCAAGAGTTTAATCATGCATTTCTTTGCATCTTTTTAATAGCAATAACTGTATTTTTAAAAAATGCATTCTCATATTTTTTCCTTAAATGGAGATTCCAAACTGAACTTTATTTAAAAACTTGTATTACCGAGTAAAAGTTTTTCGTCCTTCTTATTTTTATTTGAAAGAATCGCGAGATCTGATAAGCGCAAAATAAAGAACTCTCTCGAGATTCGGATTCGAAAAAAAAAAATCAGGATTAGACTTACATTTAGTTTTTTCCAGTGCAAATTAAAAATTATACATAATTGTAATATTTCTTTGCAAAATTTGAGATACATCATAATGCCAATTTTCTTAAGGTTCATAAAAATATTACACAAGACATCAACACTGAAATATGGGGGATACAACTGGAAAGAAGTCCCCCCAACAGCGACTTCATCGTGAAACCTCTAATTAGGACAACAAAACGAAGTTTCATGAGCTAGGTGAAACTGAACGATAAAATAGATAGGATAATGAGCTATGAAAAAGAAGATTTACACTAATATTCCTGTCAAAATTTCTTATAGGAGGTGTATTTGAGATGGATATCTTAATCGAGTTTTACTAATCACGGAGTATTTTCCAACATATTATGACAGATATAATTTTAAATATTGTATATGCTCTTGTCGTCGCAGATTGGATTCCGATGTTACTGATATAATTCCGAAATTCACTCAGCTTCAGAGTGTATGGAAGATATATCACTAATGATCCCATAAAAATTTATAGTATGGACTACACAGGAAGAAGATTGTCAAGTATAATTAAAAATTATTAAAGTTGGGCATTAGTTGAAGAACGAACAATTCTACTGTTTGTACATAATGAATATACCTTTTTTTAGATTTCCAGTTTTTCCTTTTAAGTAGACACGCTATGAATATCTTTCTATATAAGTCTGTTTGGCATTGTACCAACTCGGTTTCAGATTTAACGGCGCCACCACAAATCTTCCAGTCAATTTTGGCATATACCATTTTGGCATTCGACATACCGCATAAAAATATTACATTGTAATTCCTGGTAATATTTGACGGTATGCAGTTTTAAATTACAACTGAAGGTCTGAAACAAAAGCAAGTGTTCATTTGAGGTCTCTATAGTGCGGTGTTTCGAAGTAATAAGGGTTTGAAAAGTATTCTACGGTTGTATGAGGTTCTATGATGGCAGAAAATCAAACACCGTCTTTCGAAGTTGAAAATTTATGCAGCGAAACACAAACATAATTTTACAGTGCACTTGATGAAGTTATAGTAGTCTGGCAATAAATCGTAGCGCAGTCTTCCGTTAAACTATCCGCTTTTGTGGACAATTATTCTGAGAAAAGCTTTGTGGAAAAGAATCTTGTGCCCTACAGGTTCCTTTCCGTTTGAAGAGACTTTATTGAAACGAATATTTGATTTAAAAACATTGAATCATTTCTCTATTAAATAATCTGACGAAACGTGGTTTAATGACTTTTGACCAGAGATTAAATTGCGGTAGATCAAAGGATGAATTCCATCCTTCCGACGACCCAAAATTTTGCATGCATAAGTAGGAATGAAATAAATAATGATCTTTGTCTAGGATTACCAAAGAGTCATTACGGAAGATAGAAAAGCCACAAAACCCACCAAAACCACTTGTTTAGGGATGGAGATGAAAGTTGTAACCAAATGCTAATAAGAATTGTTACCTCATCCAAGACAAAGTCTACACATAAGCCCACCAGGCCTTAAGTGTGCGTCTAATTTTAAAGAGCCCCTCTGTTGACTGCGTATTTCCTTCCTGAAAGAGGTTTCTTTAGAAACTGCCCAAGCTATTAGAAAAGTGGAAAAAAAAAAAAAGAGTCCCTACAAAGAATAATACACACACGAGGACACTCTAAAAATGCGGCTAACTGGCCGTCCTCTCGAGAGGACACTCGAACCCGTCACCCCAGGGTACTTTCTTTCAAAATTTGAGGTGGAAATGAGCTAAAGTCGGGCTGTCAACTATACGGTGCCCAAGGCTCTTGCCAACGACAGGCGCATTTGACTCCTTGCCACTATGAATGTCGTGGATTTGTGCTGAACTTTTTCAGAAAGTGATATTGGTAACAAGAACGCAAAGTACTCTATCACGATTATTGAGAAGCAAAGCGATTAGATGAATTGAAAAAAAAAAAAAAAAAAAAAAAAAACTGCCAGGAATAAAATAACGGCTAAGAAAAATGAATTGCGGTGCATTATTTTCTAAATAAACTTCGCATTTGCCTCTTTAACCTTCAAATTTCGTTACGATAGCCATTACCTGGTCTAAAAGTAACATGGTCATTGTAATTCGCACAAACTGAATTATTTGATATTTGCTACTCTGACGATTAGTGAAAGGTGGACAATTTGAAATGAACTAAATTATTACGCACAAAAATCAATAAAAAAATTAAATTTATTATTGATAAAGTTGCGTACTGCTAATGTACAGCAAATATGAAACGACCGTTTGCTGCAGTCGAGTCGACTCTGGCGTGAAAGAGCTTGAAGCGGCTCGAGAG